TAAAGTTCCAGAGACAGAAGAGAACGGGATTAAAGTGGTATGTAGCAAGGAGAACTCTGAACTTCCAAGAAATACTGAACCATCCACATGCCAAAGAAATCTATCCGCTGCTAAAGAAACTCAGCAGAATTCTAAGTGGAAAATGAAAAGAAATCCACAAATTTATTTCATAGGAAAAACAACGAAACCTATAAGCTGTCAAAAAAAAAGAAAAGAAAAGAAAAAAATTACTTTCAAGGAAAACTAGATTCAGTAGAAAAAGACAGTCCCTTATCAGTAACAACTAAATAAGACAAAACATCTTAAGTGAGCTTAGAGAAATTCTCAGCTAATAAACTGAGTCAAGTAAAATATCCCCCAAGAGCGAGCATTTGAAAACAAATGCTGTGAAGACAAACTGGAAGTGTAATCACCAGCCGCCCTATTAAAGGACAGCCTAAAGAAAGCGCTGTGACAGAAAGCAGGCGTCTTCGCAGATAAGATGCAAGAAAGGCTGACATTCCGTCTGTCTTGTGTGTGCGTGTGCACACATTCCGAACAACACTATCCTAAAAAGGTGGGGACAGGAGTGGGACTGAGGTAGGGCTGGCACTGCTTAGAAGCTGAAGGCACTGAGTGACGGAGACATGTAGTTTCTAGGGTAACCACGTCGAGAAACTGAGTGCATCATCTGTACATGACAGCAGATAAGAGAACACTGACTATTTAAAAAAAAAAAATCTAGAAGCATGGCGCCAGACATGCTTTCTGCCTCTTGTCTACTATATCTACAGCAGGACATTTACAGTCTTATACGTATAAAAGTATGCTTTAAAAAACTGATATGGAGCCGGGCGGTGGTGGCTCACGCCTTTAATCCCAGCACTTGGGAGGCAGAGGCAGGCGGATTTCTGAGTTCGAGGCCAGCCTGGTCTACAGAGTGAGTTCCAGGACAGTCCGGGCTATACAGAGAAACCCTGTCTCAAAAAACCAAGAAACAAACAAAAAACAAACCAAACAAAAAAACTGATATGGCTCACCTCACGGGTTTTATATTATCTTCCTTATTTCTTTGTTTAATGTATATGTATGCTTATTATTATTACAGGCAGAGGGTGTAGCTCAGGTAACAGATTGTCTTCTTAGCATACACAAAGTCTATAATCTCAGCACTTGGGAATCACAAGTTCAAGGTTATCCATGGCTTCCTAGTGAGTCTGAGATCAGCCTGGGATACCTGAAGTCCTGTCTGCAAACAAACAACCCAAAATATCTTGTCCTTGACTTTGGCTCAAAGACAAGTTTATAGTTATATGTAAATTTTATCTTTTTGTGTCTAGTTTTTAATGTGGATTCATTAAGGTCCGGGACTGTTGTGTCACAGGACCTGGGTTACTGAGTGTTATTTTGTGTCTGGCAGAGGGGTTGGCAAACTCCAGAATACAGGCAAAATTTAGCCCACAGATGGTATTTTGTACTACTAATAATGGTATTTACAGTCTTCAAGTGTTGATTAAAAAAAAATGAATATCAACAAAAGACTTGACAGGATATGAGGTCAACAGTAAGGAATACTTGGAGTTTGGTCCTTTATTGATGTGTGCTAATCTCCACGTACACGATCAGTTGTTTTTTAAACCTTTAATACTCTCTCTCTTTCTCTCTCTCTCTCCCTTTCCCTCCCCACCTCCCCATGTGTGTGTGTGTGTGGGGGGGGTGCATGCGCACACATTTGTGGTTGATGTCAAGTGTCTTCCTCACGGACTCAGCTATCCTGGTGAGTTAGGGAGTCAAGGAGTAAGCTGTCCACTGACCTCCACAGGGGTGCTATGATAGGTACCCCTACCCTCCAAAAGGGGGCAATAGAACATACATTTATTTTTGGCCAAATACTCTCAGTCACAGGAGAATCAATCAAATAGACACATGTTTTGCATGCTTCATAAGTCTTTCCTTGATAACTTTCTAACCACTTGCAATTACCTTTATTACGTAGGACCTTTTCTTCTCTGGTGAACACTGCTCATCTCCTATGACAGAATCCACACAGCTGGGGATCTGGCCCAGCTCTGAATAAACCTCTGGTATCTTAAAGGTTGATTCCACCTCATTTTCTTTACTTTCTGAACTATTCCTTAGAGACTGAAGTAAACAAGCTTGCAAGACAGCTTCTTCCCAATCGGTGCCTGCTCAACTCCGCATCTGACTCTCAATGTCCACACTTGGTCAAGATCTTTTCTTTTAGCTTTTCTTTTGTGTACAAGGCATTGGAGATAGAACACTCTCTGGGCCCCAGAATCAAACTTAGAAATGTGGTTAAGTGATGCCCCTGGACTATGACAAAGAGAAATAGATATAGAAGAAACAAGGGTCCTGAGGCTGGGGGACCACAGGTTTGGATCTATGAGGGAGACAAGGGAATCTTGAGAAGGTTATACTTGTGGGGCTTTATAGATCACCCGGCATGGGGGGATGGCAGGCCTCACACGCTGTATAAAGAATGTAGTGTTATCTAACAGACAACGTAATGCTTTTGGAGGGGGATGTGATACGAGTTCTGAATTTAGGAATGAACAATCTCGATGTTCTGTGTAGGAAAGACGTGGGTATGTGGCTAGAAGAAAGAAGGACATAGAAAGCTATTCTTGTTTCAAAAGAAATGAGAACCTGAACTAATCAGTGGCAACTGAAGAAGAAAGAGACATTTGAGAAACATCACTCGGTCACAGTGGGAAAAGGAGCTGTCACTCAAAAGCCATGGCTGAAGAAGTCAAGCATAATTTTCCCAGGGGACGGAGGAACACTATGAAGGCTGTGCTAAGGAAAATAGAGAGGAAGAAAGTGAGTTGGGGGGAAAAACAATCAAAACCAACTAACCAACCACCAAAAAAAAAAAAAAAAAAAAAAAAAATGAAGGGGATGTACCAGCTGAACAACTAACTAGCTTCGGGGGCTGAGGAAAAGCAGAAAGATGAGCTTTCTGTTTTGTGGCTTGGGCCGATGAGCAGGATGTGGAACAATCACAATGGGGAATACAAACGTGCACTAGAGAGAAAGACACTTAAGCTTTTAGCGCATCATACAAAAGGGGCCCCAGAGGCAACCTGGATGAGATTGTTTTAAATTAAGATTTAAGCTGGAGTTTAAGACAGCAGTTTGCTAGGACAGCTGGCATTCAATCAGTATGTACTTGTTACAGCTAAATTTGAAGTTTTGAAAATTGGTAGCTAAACGTCCTTGAAGGATGAGTAATAACGGGCTCTGAGCTCTTAAGCTCAGAGTATCCGAGGGGGCCGTGTGGCTAAGTGCTAGAGGGAGCTCTGAATAATACTGGAATCTTGATTCATGCCTATGTTAACCTCCTCACGGTGGTCACCTGAGAGCCACCGCAAGTATATACTGCGGCTAAAAATATGTGAGAATATGTGGAGGGAAACTTGAAATAACCTGGACCTGGGAAACCTGATGTTGATGGGGCTGGCAGAAGAACAGGGAACCCAAAGGCTGAGGATAACTCAGTGGACATCATAGGAAAAAAAATGAATAGAGAAAAGGGAATTATGACAGAGATATTTGATGCAGAGATTGAACTCAGATGACAGAACCGTCTCATGACTGCGAAAGGTCTAGGACACCATTTCTGCCAAGTAGTTAATCAGGAAGCCAAGGCTAGACTGCACTGAACTGGGGTGGGGTTGGGGGACCCTGTGACAAAACCAAGAATCATGCAGAGCACTGAAAGTTGAGATGCCTAAGGAACACACCGACAAGGCTGCTGAAAAGTCCTAGGATGGCAGAGCTCTGTTTTGTTCTAAAGATAAACTTCACAGTGTACTTTCACACCAGAAGATGTCCTTATAAAAAAAAATAATAAATTTCGTAAGTGGCTCATCAAAACCTGTACATGACTTAAGACACAAACAAGACCTAGGGAGATCTTGGAAATCTTTGTGGTCTCCCTCTTCACACTCTTTGAACTCATCACACAGTAAGCTCACACAGGGCTTACTACAGATTGATGCTCTCAAAGGGCTCGACACACACCAGCCTCACTCAGCACACCAAGTCTTCTCCTGAGTGTGGAAACCCTTGGATTTGGCTTAAGTGGCCTCTTTCTTTGAACTGACTCTTTTTTTTTTTTTTTTTTTTTGAAGAGAAGACTTGTCTGAGCAATCAACAACAAACAAAAACCCCACACTTCTACCTTACTCTTTATCGTGGTCATTTTCCCCCTCCTAGTGTTCAATCTAATTTATACTTTATTTGTCCACATTTAATTGGTTGCTTCACTCACTCTTATGATTCCAATATGCACCATGAGAGCAAAGATGCTCTGGTTTGTTGGCCCTCGTGGCTTTAATCCTGTTGTTACTGCTCCACAGAGAACTATACAGCTGAGTTTTCACCTTTATCAACTTCCTTGGTCGGGTTTGTGCTTGCTACTTCCTAAAATTTATGTCCTTTTCCCACAGAGAACCACAATAGCTAACACACATCGCCCTTTCACTCGATATTAGGCTCTGTGCTGTAACCTTTACCATATAATTTCACTAACTCGTTACAATAACCTCCCATAAATATGTTTTTATACAGCTATCTTCATTGCACAACTGTACAAAAGAACGTTGTGTAATTTCCAAGTGGTGAAGCCAGAATTCGTGACGAGATCCTCAAAAAACAAAACAGTGCCTGGCCGTGGCTCACTTCTAGTGAAGGCACAAATTCTACTTTGAAAGTCTTGTTCCATTATTGTCTATGTCCGGAACTTACATCTGCTCTGAGAAGGCTACATCCTAGTCTACAGATTCAAACTTTCCCCCTCTCTTGAACTACTTTTATCCGACTGAGACACGAAGGACAGGGTGTAGTGGAGAGCTGCTCCGTACTTCCAATCGTCAAGGAGGATGTAAGAAGAGATGTAAACGCTAGTTACTTATTTCTCAAGCGCCGAGGTAGACCCGCATCTAACCGGAGACGATCTGAAAGCAATTCCTGAACTCATCAGTGTCCAAAACACTTACCTTAACTGCCACCTCCGGAGCCGAGTCCACCGCCACGGTCAGAGAGGACTTGGCTGAAGGCGATTTAGTCAAGTGCATGAGAGAGTCCGCGGCTGGCAGCGGACACCGACTGCCCTCACTGTCCGAGTCCGATTCGGACCCGGAACCCGAGCCGTATGAAGCAGCTAGAGCTGCAATCGCAGCCGACATGACTGCAACAGATACTCTCTGCTACGGCCAGGCCAGGGCGGAAGAAGAAGCGTCTCCCAGGTCCTGACAGATTGTCATGGAACACGTTATTCACCGCCTTTGGAAACAAATCATTTATAACTTCTCGAAAAAAAACCTTAATTATTATTACGATAACTGTATCAGAACTTGAGATTCACAAACATTTATCGTAAGAAGCACAAGAGATTACAACTATTTGTAACTTTCAGGACCTCGTTGATTAAAGACCCAGTCCTGAGAAGTGTTTGAAGCCTCGAGGTCCTTCACTCCCGGCGTACAGCGCGGCGAGGAGCTCGCGGCACCATGGGAAATGTAGTTTGGAGCGAGGAGGCGGAGCCGGGCCGAGGGGGTCGGCCTTCGACCCCGCCCCGCAAAGGATGCTTCATTCAATTGGATGTCATCTTCCCTCATTCCCTAGCCCGGCTCCGTTCTCTCCGGCCCCCTCCCCCAAAGTGCGGATTGGGCAATACCACAGAGCCTCAGGACAGGGGGAAGCGCCGTCCTCTTGCCCAGGGACCGGTAAGTGGGTGGATGCTCACTCTCCCGGCACGCCGCTGTACGCCCTGCAGGGTTCGAGGGGAGAGTGCGAATTCTAAGTTCAGAGACCCGGGACCGGTCCGGCGCAGCTCCGGGGGAAGGTCGTGAGGCCAGGCGGAGAGCGCCCCGCGGCTCCCCCTGCTGCAGGCGCGGGTCCCCGCGCCCGGTTGTGGAGCGTCGCGCGGGGAGGGGGCGGCGCAGGGCAGCGGCGGCTCGCGGTGTTGTTCGCTCGCGCGTCGCGCGCACCGCGGCTCGGGCGAGCAGTGGGCGCCCCCGGCGGCATTCCCGGCGGCCCGGCGCCTCAGCCAGTGCCCGGCGCGGCTTTCATCCCTCAGCCCGACGCTCCCGAGGGGCTCCCGGTGGCGTCCCTGCGCCGAGCTGGACCGGCGGCAGCCGCCGAAGCATGTAGAAGGGGTACGGCGCGAGCCCCCCACGGTTTCGCGGTGAGCACGAGTCTCTCAGGATTTTGTCCTTTTTTTTTCTTCCCGGGGTCCTGACGAGGGAACTGTTCCCCACCGGCCGGCCGAGAGGGCGTGTAGACGAGCCCGGGTCTGCAGCGGCGGCGGCGATGGATGGGCGCGCCGCCCCCGCCCCCATCCCGGGCTCCCCCGCGCCCGCCGCTCAGCAGCCCGGGCTGCGCGTGGAGGACGAGGCGCGGGATGTCGGGCGCGGGGACCGGCCCGAGGCTGCTCCGGGTGCAGCAGCTGAGGCTCTCACCTGCGGCGCGGGGTTCGGGGCTCCGATCCCGCCGCTCCGCCCTCGTGCCTCGGCGCCGGCGAAGGCTGCAGCCAGTCGCCGGGTCCCCGGCTCGTCCGGCGTGCCAGCGGCTCTGAAAAGCGAGCTCTGGCCGCGGGTCTTTGCGCCGCGGCTCCCTCTGCACGACAATGGTAAAGCGAGTGCGAGCATCCCTTTATATTCCCGTTTGGAAGAGAAGGCAGAGAGGGTACCGGCTCTTCTGATGCCTGGAAATGGGGAGGTTCTCGGGCAGAGTTAGGGAGACGCTCGCTGGGCTCTGATGTCGGCAGGACTCGCCCATTGTGCCACCCAGATAATTATTCAACTATGCAGCATCCATTGCACCTTTCCCATTTTTCTTTTCCCCTAGCTCCAGCATGCCCCCTAGCTTCCGAACCCGGACACCTTCTCCTGCACTTGCGGATGATGAACTAGAATAATGGTCAAAAGAAAGCTCATCCGATCCGAATGTGCACGACCTGCCCTGTGGCTGACTAATTAATACCTAGCTAGAATAGGTACTTTTTAATTCGACTCTTTCTGACCTTATCCTGTACTATACAAAATGTGCTCGAGATTCTGTTTACATTTTTTCTTGATGTTTACATTACCTAAGTCTTTATGTTCGGTAATAGCTGTGATTAGTTTATTAGTTGTTCAGTTGTGCAAACATCCATTGATATTTGTAAATTTAATTGGTAAACTTTTATTTTTCTAATTGTTGGGAGCGGCGTAACACAATTACAGATGCAGTCCCATTTGGAACTCACGGGACCAGTTTATCCTTGATCTAAGTTTCTGTTAGGGAAAGTATTTTTATTTATCTTGAATATTTGAATAAAGTATTTAATACAAAGTTTTTCGTTATTAATAAGAAAAGTTTTGTACTTTGTAGAATATTTGAATATTTGATTACTAATATCTTTCATTTGAATGAAAGGAAGGATTTAATATGGGAGGAGAATCTTAACTCCCTAACTTGGATTTAATTTTCACTTAGCTATTTTTACAGTATATTTTATTGATGACTATAGTTTCTTTTTCTGAGTTATCTACATAGATGAATAGATCCATTTTTGAATACCTTAAGGATGGAATATATTTTGAAAACTTAAGAAACAAACATAGCTACTTACTATTTAAGTGATATCACTTAAGAACAACCTATTAGCCACTAGAAACATCTTTTCCTTTGTATCGGCTTTCCCCTCTTTATGTGTTTAAGCCTGTTTTGTTAACCATTTTGATATGAACAGAATTGCACACCGACAATGCAAGAGTGCATTGATTATTTAATTTGTAAGCGGCATACATGTAAGTTGATGGTGTAGAATCACTTATTTGGCTAGGAAAGACCTTGCAGTTTATAAAATGGACATCTTCTTGCCTTGATTTCCTAACGTGTAAATGGAAACAATGCTCTTATGCCACAAGATAGTACGCATTAAACTAGAGAAGACATTTTTGCAGCACTTTTAAGCTGACTTTAAGCATTTTAATTGATGAATCATGAAGATGCTTCAGTATGGTTTTCCACAGCACCCGGGAATGGCTGATTTACATTTGAGTTTGCTTTGGCCAGATGGCTTTAGCTTGAATTTCTTTCTCAGTTTTTTAACTATATACTTAATGCCTATGTATAATAATTATATAGCTAATATTGATGAATATAATTGGTAACAAGTAGAATATTGAGTTAAATTTGTGAAAAGTCTAGAAAATGTTGAAGATCTCTTAATTTAAAAATTTTGGTTAATAGATTGCATAATTATGATCACTTGTAAGATACACTGTAGGTCAGCTTTATCTCTTGGGTTTCTAAATGGCCATATATTGAGAGACAGTGCATTGGTATAGTATAATATTCAATTTTTTGTTTAATTTTAAGAGTAATTTAAGATATCTTTTCCAAAAGCTCGATCTTCAGTAGAGAGTATATTTGGTTTCTTATTAAGAGATTAACTCCTTTACTTTCATAGCAAAAACTACTGTTGAAATACTATATTATTGCAGATAAGATACCAGATTTTTGGTTACTTTGTGGGAGGAAGTCATATAGATGAAAGGTCTCTCTCTACAAGTGGGTTTATAATTCATTTAGCTGATTTTTTTTTTAGAATTATCTTGATTATATTTTATCATGTTTTCTTAAATATAAAGAGCTAAAATTTAGCTTTTTTTTTTTTAATTGGGTAAAGAAAAAGTCTGTTTTTTCTTGAGCTCTGTGAAGACAGGAACTATCCTGTGGCTTACTGTCACAAATCCAAAGATGGTGGCATTGCCTTGAATAAATAGCAAAGGGTTCATCTGTGTGCCACAAACAAGAGGACTGAGGAAGGAGTAGGCCCAAAGGCAAGATGTAGCAAACATTGTATTTAGCAGAGCAGCTTCATCTCTAAAGAGAAAGCTACGTTTGGGTTGTTTTTGGAACCTCTGCTTTTAATCCTTTCTCCGCACATTACTGAGGCAGCACTAGACAGTGAACAAGGGAGCCGCTGGCAGCCTGCGTGGAAGGATAGTAATGATCTTCTTGCAGCACACTTCCAGAAAATAGACGTGAATGCTTCTGTTTCCAAAGCTATCTTTCTTTGTGACTTCACTTTTCCAGTGAAATCTTAATAAAAAAGATGTATTTAAATGAAGTCTTGTGCTTGTTTGTGTAACAGGTTTTAAAAATAAATCACCTCAAGATAGAACTTTGTAAAGTTAAGAATTATGGTTTATTTATTTACTATATGCAGATTATAGTTTTAAAATTTTTATCTCTCTCTCTTCTTTTTTTTTTTCTTCTCCATGCTGGGAATAAAGTCCAGGGCCTCATGTGTGCCATATTCTCTACTACTGTATTTCCTGCCCTTAACTTTGAATATTGAATTTTTATAAGTTGTTAATCTTAACTTATTTATTACATTTGAAAATCATACCATGCTGTAGGACTTGGCAGTAGTTCTTTTTCTCATTGCTGAGATAGAATAAAAAAATTTAATGAAAAGTAGCTTACAGAAGGAATGATTCATCTTACTTAGTGTTTGAGGGATACTGTCCATCAAAGGGTAGGGGCGGGGCATAGTGGCAAGACAGGCAGCTGACCACATACCATCTGCAGTGAGGCATGAGAGAGGTGAATTCTGCTCTGCTCTGCTGTGCACTTAGTTTTTTTCTGTTTTATTCAGCCAGGATCCGAGCATATAGGATGCAGTTGTCAACATTCAGGGTGGCCTCAGTTTTCTGGAAACCTCCAGAGGTTTGTCTCCTGGGTGATTCTCTATCCACTGGAGTTTCCAGTGAAGACTAACCACTGTAGACTTGGAACTTATTTTCTCAGAAACTGTACACTTCGCGATTAGACTCAGCCTACTAAAAGCCTCTTTAACCCATAGTGTACTGCAGCTACTAGATTGTGTTACTGTATTATGCTAATAATTATAAAATTCTAGAAAACCATAAAATTATGTTAACAACTATAAAACATTAACATAAATATACAGTGACAGCGTTATTGGAACTTGCCTGCTTTCATCCATGGAACAGGAAGAGGAAGATATTTCTCAGATTTTGTATTGCTTTGCCTTATATAGGGCAGGAAGTTAAGTTGGAAGGGTATAGGGTCGTCTTGTGATTTTACTTCTCAAGGTTTTGTCAATTGCAGTATCAAAAAGATTGAAGTAGAAGGCCCCTGCTGGCTTCTTCCCTAGAACAGACATCTAAGGAACTTGGAA